ACCACTCATCCCTCGATACACAAGAGTTCAACAACACATTGAGCGTTAGATTACAGACGCAAGTGTCAGCCACGGAGGACGATTCAATTCACCCCTTCTGCCATGTTGACGTTTAGCTATTCTTGCTGCAGTCTGTTATCTGCAGTGCCCAACCGGAAAACATTCACTATGAACGCAATGGGTCGTCCACAGCTTTAAACCGCGACATGTCTCATGGCGCTTACACCTATACATTTTCACTATCTTGTTATTAGATGTTCTCATATCAGCAACCTCAATCTCTAGCATTTCATAGCACCCTAGCCCGCTGCTTAAGGTCCACATCATACATAACCCGCTCATTTAAAGCTATCACGCCTATCCCAGAAGTTAAAACACTAGAAAAGGACCACAAAGGGCAAAAAGCTGGACGAACAGGGAATCGAACCCTGGACCACTCACATGCTAAGCGAGTATTATACCACTAAACCATTCGCCCATCGGGATGATTTCGCCCGGACTTGAACCGGAGACCTTCAGTGAACCAGGCGAGATTCGAACCTCGTACTGTTAGACTGACGTGATAACCAACTACACCACGAAACCATGTTATTTGATGACTCATCTCGAGCGGAGAGAATATGTGAAGGTTTGGTGTCTGTGCGTGTGGGGTGGCGGGCGAGGGCATCGTGAAGCGCTGGTTGTGGGGCTGGAGTGGAGACGTGGAGTGAATGCTGCATGGCGTTTACTTTGGTCCAAGGCGGTCAGTCCCTCGACTCTCCCGCTCACGAGGAAACCCAGACTGGCGTAATTGCGTGAAATGCGCAAGTCTTTGTCGACGGGTGTTTTCCAAGAATTCGATCAAAGCCGTGGTTGTCGAAGTTGAAAGTGCCCATCTCTTCTAGTCTGTTAGCGCCAAAGTGCCGGAGTGGGGCAAATCGGGGCCGTGAAGGCCGTCCGGTGGTCGCTGCCCGGGGTAGCTTCGGGGAAATATGCCTGGTTTCTTGCAGCGACCCTTCCGAATGCTGCGTTTTTGGCATTCAATTCGTGGAGTGCCACCACGTTTTTCAGTCCACTAAATCCCGTGGTTGACAGATAATGCGGGCGCCCGGCCTTCTCGCCGGCCGCGGCGCTGCAGCAGGAGTGCAACCTACCTCAACGGATCACTTCTCCGCACATGAATTACCTCGTCACACATCGGCTGCGATTCAAACCAACAATATCTCCGTCCACTTCATCGACATGGGTGGCACCAACTGCATGTAAACCAACCTACCTTCCAAACCGAAGTCCAATACCCGACCGCTGTCATCAATTATTAAGACAGCCATCTGCTCTGAGAGGTGTATAGCTTTGCGGGCGGAAGCGTGTGATATATGACGACATGCATTTCATGCGAGTGTATTTTGGCGTCTCGCGACAGCTTCCGGGCTCTTTCGAATCTCCCGCTTGTGATGTGCGACATAACGGGAGAGAGGAAGTCTAACGGGCGCCGGCAGCCATCCGATCTTTCGCTCAATCTAAATGCATCTGCCGTGACCCCGAACCCCGCGACTGGTGAGGGGCTAGCGCGGGGATGTGTAGTGGCGGTTCGGCCGGTCGCGTGGTGACGTCTGCGGGGTCGAGGTTTGTCGGAGAGGACTGGAGTAAAATGGAGACAACACTTGGGACGGAACAGTCCCCCGGCTTGTCGTGGGAGCAAACAAGTACCGTTGCATCGACGGATCATGGCCGGCATGCTCTCCCCGGCAATTCGCCCTCCATTGCGGGGTCGAGTTGCTGTCCCTCATGTTGTCTTCTCCTTGAAGACTTGTCTTTTCTGACAAGTTTGCCCCATTATGCTAGTTAGTTTGAACCTACACCAACTAGATACTCACCAAGGAGCTTCCACTAGTTGAGATGAGTCGCCCGTTCAAAAAGGTATGCCCCCGTGAACTTCGGCTTCAGTAATTCTCTAAAGCTATTCAGGTCGTGATCGTTGGGGCCGGGCCTTCGGGCTTGCTCCTGGCGCTGCTACTTTCGAAGAAGGGCATCCCCGTTCAGATCCTCGAAGCTCAGGATCATCTCGACCAGCAACCGCGAGCCGCCCACTACGGCCCAGCCGCCATCCCGGACCTGAAGCGCGCGGGCATCTTGGACGAGGTCCGACGTCGGGGGACGACGGTGAGCACGTTCGTCTGGCGGCGTCTCGAGGATCACAGTGTCATCGCCGGCTTCGATGCGGGAGTTCTTTCCGACGTCAACGGCGACGACCTGCGCACAGCGTGTCTCGTTCTGCAAGATCTCGACCAGTTGATGCTGGACGAGTTTCTGGGGAAACACAACGGAACCATCAGCTGGGAGCATCGTGTAGTCGGCCTTGGCCAGGACGATGAAAGAGCCTGGGTAGACGTCGAAACACCACAAGGGAGGAAGAAAATCGAAGCAGACTACATCGTCGGGTGCGACGGGGCCAACAGCGCAGTTCGAAAGGGGCTATTTGGGGAGGAGTATCCCGGCTGGACGTGGGATGCTCAGATTGTAGCGACGAACACGTACTACCCCTTCGAGAAGAAGTTCGGCTGGGACGATGCCAATTTCATCATACACCCGGAACACTTCTTCATGGCGGCGAAGATCACGAACGACGGGATTTACCGCGTGACGTACGGCGAAGAGTCCAATCTCTCGCACGAAGAGCTCAGAGCACGCCAGGAGAAGAAGTTCAAGATTATGCTGCCTGGACGCCCTGACCCGGGAGAGTACGAGGTCCTCAACTTCGCCCCTTACCGCATGCACCAGCGGTGCGCGCCGAAGTTCCGGGTGGGCAGGTTCATGCTGGCTGCTGACGCCGCCCATCTGTGCAACCCCTGGGGCGGGCTTGGGATCACCGGCGGGTTTGTGGATGTTGGTGGGTTGTATGACTGTCTTGCGGGCATCTGGGACGGGATAGCGGATGAAAACATTCTGGATTTGTACAGCGAGAAGAGGATTGAGAAGTGGAAGACGATCATTGATCCGATTTCGCAGGAGAACTTCAGAAGGGTGTCCGATAAGGACCCCGGTACGAGGGTAGAGAGAGATGGGTTCATGCAAATGTGTCAGCGAGCTGCGAAAGATGAGAACCGCATGCGGGAGGTGATGCTGGGGAGCTTGGCCGTGAGATATGATTTCACGCAGCATTACAAGAAGGTAGACGGCTAAGGGGCGAATCGTGCTTGATCGAGTTGGGTTTTGGTGTAGAGTAGCGCCTAGATTAGTGAGGGCCAATTCAATTCACCGATGACATCTCATTGATTTTGAGCCATGAGATCACCAACAAAAACCCCTAACAAGGAATCCTAGGTCATCCACATCGCCGGATGATTGTCGGCTGGACCTTTGCATGGTTTCCATGTCAAAAGCATGCGGAAGAGACTGAATGAAAGAGCAGGATATGAACTTTCGCTCAGTGCCATTTGTGAGCAGAAAGGTTCACCTAGACCTGAGAATCGACAGTTTGTAGCGACTTGCTCACTTGAGACGGTCATGAAGAAGGATATTTGGAGTATATACTGGGTGAAAATCAGTCCAAAGCCTTGGCTTAAGACAGCTTGACCCAGAGATCTGCGAATATGAGAGACCAGAAATCCAGCAAAGCACTGGGTCCTTACATTCAAGTGTTTGAGCAACTGTTCTTCAGTACAGGGGAAAATGAATGAGAAATAAATATGAAGTGAGTCGAACGAGAGAGATAAGTGCACTTTGACTCGGCGGCCCGCGAACGACATTTCTCATAAACTTCACAGAATGGATGAGAAAGTTGTATAACTGTGTGGCGACACAACCGTATTGTAGCCGCGGCTTTTCTGTCAACGGCCATGCCGCGGTTGCCGAAACTTGCATTTCTTTGTCCCGGCATGGGAACAGAGAACCGGGGGGTTCCAAACTCATGCTCTACCTCATGATTCGACAGAACCACCCATGGTGTTGGCCTGGAACCGCCACTGGTTTGATACGCTCTTCTGCACTCCTGCGGCGCATGCGTGGTATCTTTCCAGCGCAGCAGGCTTTGCCTTGATTCATAATTCTTCGTGAAGCTTGCAACATTCCGTCCGATGAGTTATGCAATGAATGAGCTTCGAGATGTCTCCCATACGACTGCTGAAGACGATGAATTATGAATGAATATTGAAAGGAAGATCGAGAATTGTGAAGTGGTTCTGAGTCTAAATTAAGGTGTAGTGGAGCCTCGAGAAGACCCGCCGATTATCCACATTTTAGCGAATGATCCAAAGAGGGCTCTACTCCCGGCGGCTAATCCTAACGGCCCCATCATCTTCTGTTGATGAAGCTCTCACATTGAGCCAACTTCAGCCAACTTCTTCTCATTCACATCTGCCCCCAAATTGTCACAATGCAATGCGACGTCCAATTAGCCAAGCCAGGAAGCTGAATTGAAGATCGCATGTTCGTGTCTGAGATTGACGACTGAATTGCTGAAGAAGATCGTGGCGATGCATTCTGCAGACGGCGCAGTTGTTGTTGGTCCGGTCCCCACCCGGGCCGCCCCCTCGATCATCGTCCGCGGGCGCTTAGCCAACACCTCTCATTCCTCGACGCCCCTACCAGCGGGCCCACGTCAATGCTGAACCAATGCAGGAACCCTGGATCAAGTAACCTTATGTTGGCGCGAGGTGTTATCCGGCTACGGAAGTGGCATAGTCGAGGGGAGAAATCATGCGAACTGGCAAGTAGCCGCGCTGAACAATGCTGTTGGAACCGGGGTCAACCTCCTGGTTCGTTTCGATGTCCCACAATCTCGGATTCATTCATATCTCCTTAAGTCGCCCGTTCTCCTAGGTCAGAGGGTCTAGCCTGCCTGGTCTTCCCCCTCTTTCTCGTCTCCTTTTTGTCCCATTTCCTATGTCGGTCGTGGCTGGTTACCACCGGTCTGTTGTCTTCGTTGAAGAACGGATCAAGATTCTTTCATTCTTATGAGGTACTAGGTATCTCTTGATCTGCCCGGAATATCCAACATCAAAGCCATAGGCCTCAAGACGATGGGCCAGGAAACAGCTGAAGTCACAGAGACTCAGGTTCTCTCATCACACAACACAATATCCGAGAAGCGCAGCCAAAATGAGTCTATTTCTTGGCTTTCCAAGGCAAAGGACACCAAGTGTAGTCTCGAAACAGGTAATTGAAAGCGTCTATAGGCCAGAATCCAACGGAAAGTATCACAGCTAACCCTATTGGCAGTTCATAAACATGGCTGGAAGCCAATGACTCTGGGCGCACCAGTGCTTTTCTCCTTCGCCTTTGTTTCCTTCATCCTTGCAGTCATCATCGAGATCCTTGCGCAACAGAGCCAGAAGAACGGGGGCCTGACTCTGACTACCTCTTCGGACGACCTACCGACCTACGCGAAGTTTGGACATCTGTTCCTGCCGACGATCGTTTCCGTGATATACAGTCTGCTTTGGAGTTGGGTTGACTTGGATGTGAAGCGCATACAACCATGGCTGGAGATGTCGAAGCCAGCTGGCGCAGAGGCCGACCATTCGATCTTTCTGGACTACCCTTACGATTTCGTTGCCTTCGTACCTTTCAGAGCGGCAAAAAGGCGGTGCGTCTCTGGCTGAGGGTCTCTCCCAGTGGGAAGCTAACGTCTACAGACATTGGCCTGTGTTCTATGGAGGCACGGTCATGGTCATCATCTTCTGGCTGATCACTCCATTGCAGAGTGCAATACTCGCTGCCGGCCCCATTAACGTGCGACGAGCAACAAACATCTCAAGCCTCGCTTCCATTCGACCACTTGCAGAACAGCCAAAGTTGATGGACACGTCTATTCTAAACGAAGGCTACTCCCTAGCTTGGCTGAATCAATCAATACCGCCATTCTCCACTCCTGAGTACACCCTACTACCTTTCACTTCCAGCCGTCAGGCTCCTCAGGTTTCTTCAACCAATTGGACGGGCCAGTCTGTGAAGTACTGGACTGAACTCAGTTGCTGGCCTGGCGTCATTTCTCAACATGGTGCCTCAACAAAGTTTACCTATGACTTCAACAACGGTCGCGGATGCAACGCCAGCGACGTGAATGTGCTGGGGTCCTTGAACGACACGACGCCCTTTCAGATACAGTACTTTGGTTATCAAAATAGCGCATGGGCTGACTACTGGTTGGCACAGCCGACCTGTCCCAAGAGCTCGGCAGAACACCAGTTCTTAGCCGTGTGGTCCCGTTACAATGCTACGTTGAATAAGTTCAAAATGGCTTCGACTTTCTGTGAGACGAACTATTTCAAGCAGTCAGTCAACGTCACAGTCTCTGCTGTCGACCAGACCCCAATCGAGAATTCGATAGTCCCGTTGGGACCCCGCGAACGGCTTCAGGAGACGGAATTCAACTACACCGCGTTCGAGCACCTTCTAGGCGCAGGGGTCTCACCCGTGGAGCTCGACGTCAAGCGAGAGTTCCCATTCGGCCGTCTCCTGGAGCACTATCAACAAGTTTCCGACCTCGGCCTGAATTGGCCATTGTCACCTATGGCAGGTTTCGCCATTGCGATGAAGGGCAAGCCACCACTCGATGCATTCAACAACGCAACCTACCTAGGGGAGGCTTACAACGCAACACACAAGATGCTATTTACTCTGGCACTGCGTCATGCTCTTACTAACACAACGAACGCGGCTGTTACCGAAGGACATATCGACTTCATTCTGTACGGCATTATAGTCAGTCGTTTGTTCTCTGCCATCGTTGAAGGACTCCTGGGCTTGGTAGGGTTCTTCACCATTCTCTTATGGTGGCACAGCTACAGAGCGCCGAGTAGGCTCACCATGGACCCGGCTTCGTTGGGATCGATCATCAGTCTTTGCCAAAACAGCAGTGTGTTACTCGACAGATTCGCTGGGAAGGGGTGCTTGCCGGAAGAAAAGCTCAAGGAGGCCTTTCGGGACCAGCGATTCAAGTTATTCTGCGGGTGCCAAAGCCGCTCCAGGCAAATGATCATCAAGGTTGTCGACATCCGAAACGAGTCTTACGATGGGGAAGAGATCGAAATCCCCGACGCCTCCCTCTCCGTCGGCCATTACTCACCGGTGAAGCCGCTTGCGTTACGGCGCGATGTTGGTGCTACGGTGGTTCTATCTATGGTTGGAGCAATTGTCGCCCTCGCCTACCTCAAAGTAGAGGAGACACGTATTCGAGGTGAGGTCACTTTCTTTCAGCAACGTAAGACCTAGCTGACTCGTCTTAGGGCTCATCCGGCCCACGACAAACTTTGAGGTTCTCCAAATTCTGGAGAACTACGTTCCAACTATCTTCGCGACACTGCTCGAGCCGTTTTGGGTGCTCGTCAACAGGCTGCTTTGTCTCATGCAACCTTTTAGAGATTTATGGAGAGGTCGACGGACGGCCGAGGGATCAATCGACGCCAGATACACTTCTTTGCCTCCGCAATTTGTGATTTGGCGTGCGGCTCGGTCTGGCCATTTCATGCTGACAGCGATGTGCTTCTTAGCTCTTCTGTCCAACCTCCTAGCCGTTGGGCTTGGTGGTCTCTTCAACGAGTTTCCCATCGTCATCGAAACTGAACGCAAATTCCAACAGACGCTTAAGCCGCAGATGACCAACGCCAACGGACAAAAGGCCCAGAAAATCTTCAGGATGGACACTGCGCCCTATGAGACGCCATACTACGCAATGATGAATAACATCTCTCAAGGAACACCTCTTCCACCTTGGATCACCAAAGACTGGTTTTTCCAACAGTTCTCCATCTTGCCCGGAGAAAACGATACAGGAGACACCTATACAGCGAGAACACACGGTTTCGGTACTATCCCCTCATGTTCCGCCGTCGGTCCCGTCAAATCGGGGGTTCTGGGGCCTGTCATAAATCACACATTCGTCCGAAACGGAGAAGCCATTCCGGATTGTCCTACGACTTACCGAGCCGCCTCATTCGACTTTAACACAACATTTCAAGAGAAGGTGACTGGGCCGGCTACATCAGAATTAGTCGATACTCTGGGGGAGACCTATGGCTATGGCACCTGCAACATTCCGTTGATTGTGGGATATGGAAGAAGGGAGAATAACGAGACGATGGAATCTCTGTTCGTTGTTTGCGAACCGACTTTCACAACGGCTGTGTTCGATGTCACAGTTGACCCCGAAGGTTACGTACTTAGCTCCGAACAGGCGTCTGAAGCATCTTCGACCCTCGACTACCCCCTTTCCACGAATGATACCGACACAATAACCGTTGATCTCAACAAACTCGTGACCAGCATCTTGAAGTCCTGGCATAACGATACGCTTTCGAAGGGCTGGCTAAACTACCTCCTCAGGATCCAGCCTGGTCTTGCCAACCTCCACGACCCCGACACGTTTCCGAATGTCGCCGAGCTCGTCCCTACCGTCGAACGAACATATCGACAGCTTTACGTATTGATGATGGGCCTAAACGATTTCGTGTTCGACGAATATCCCGAGCCTGTCACCATTTCAGGCGTTCATCGTAAGTCCGAGATTCGCATTTTCATGGACATCACAGCACTTGTCATCACCATGGCAGTTTTGTCCATCAACATCCTCGTCGCTATCCCACTTTACAGCTTTTCCATCAAACACTTTTTGCCACGATTGCCTACGAACATTGGCTCTATTCTCGCGTACATCGCGCCTAGTAGAGCTCTTCGCGAGTACGACGGAGATACGAGCCGCAGAGGCGAGACGTTCAGTTTTGGCCGGTACGTGGGGGAGGATGGACGTGCGCACGTTGGAATCGAGCTTGATCCATTCGTCGTGCCAGTGAAATTGTCGGCGTTGAAGAAGGGCGACACGGAACCGAGAAGGGGGATAATGAGACGGATTTTGGGCCGGCGAAAAGCGGAACAGGGGGATGAGACCTGGTTATGATTTATGATGATATGAGCTGAGCCGGGTATCGGACGAGTAATTCAACGGGAATTTCTGTCACTTGTGGTCCAATCTGCGGAGGAATTTTCCGAGTGAACTCGAGTCTATTGCACCCATCGCGAGACCGAAATCGACATCGCAAAACGACCGAAAATCTGCCTCGCGGGGATGAAGTCTTCTTTTCTCATTGACACGAGTCAAGTTTCTGCAGACAGGACAACCCCCAAACGAAACAGCAACGAATTACAGTTTTCTACTTTACTTGCAACCCGACAATGTTTCTCCCTGCGTGCCAAAATTCGTTTCCACCGTACGGCGCAGATCGCGTCCATGCGCACGTTCTCGTCTGATCTATCTTGTGTCAGCCTTTCAGCTCGTCAGGGAAGCTCTTTTATTCAAGAGGCACTACGTGCAAAAATGTACAGCCAATGAAATACGAAGTAAGTCAAGTAAAATCAATGACTTTTTATCATGAAAATCAGAACTTGTCATTCGGAATACGGTTTCTGCTTTGAAGAATCAAACACATGGATGATGAACATCTTAAGGTCCTCTTTAAGACTCAATGATGACATGAGAATAGCAGGAGGATCAACTGGTAAATCGAAGCTTGCAAACGACAAGTTGAGTCCAGATACAAGGCCTTTCACCCCCGGTGTGGGGGGGCAGGATTCTCTTGTTCAACTTCACACCTTCATGGCGGCGTTGGTGTTGCGTTCAGTTTGCGTCGCGTTCAACGTTCGCTGCGTAAGGTTTAAGTTATGTCAAGTTCCCTGTCTACTCCGAAGCTCCACGAGGTCCTTGACTTCTTCTCAAGGGCACCCCCGCCCCAACTGTCAGAGTGAGTACATCAGACTGTCAAGCTCTGAGCCGTTAGTGGTTGAACATATGCGCTTTGGCGTAAAACACAGCTGAGAGCTATGTTTTGGTGTGCGTATGTGTGGTTGATGATTGAGACCCCCCACCATTTGGAGATTGAAGCTTTCACATGAAGGGGCGGGATGGATGATGACTTATGAGCAATTGTAGTGCTATTGATGATATCACGCTATTTTTCCATGATGGCTAATGCAGACATCTAGCCTTTTGTAGTCATGCCAAAGAAAGAAAAGGAAATGTGTACAAGGTATATACAGAAGGTTGTAAATGTTCAGAAGAAAAGACAAACGCCGCAAATCTTTGTGCTGCCGTAACCTGTATGATCATGAAGATAGGTATCCAATGTGCCCCGAGGTATCATATATCCCGTAAATGCTAAACCGTTCATAAAAGGAGTGTTCGCCATCGACCAGCTTAGGCGTGAGAACGGAAGCGGAGGGCACGCTTGCGACCGTTTCGGGTCACAACCATGTTGATAGAAGAGCCCATGCCGGCAGTACAAGAGGTACCGGAGGCGAGCTGCTGGACAGCAGACCAGGCACCGCTAGCGCAGCGCTGGTAAGAAGTGCCGCCGATGCAGTTCCAGGCTCCCTCGTCAGTGCAAGCAGCACCGACAGTCTGCGCGCCAGCACCGGTCTCAGTGCCGTTGCCAGAACCAGAGCCGGAGCCGGTGCCAGAAGAAGGAGCGGCGCTAGGCGCAGCGGTGGCAGCGGGAGCCTTGGAAACGGAGGCAGTGGCAGAGGCAGTGGGGGTAGAGCCGGAGCCGTTGGGAACGGTGATGAAGACGCCGCCGGGGATGGAGGCCGAGGGCTTGGCGGAAGCCGCAGGCGCGGAAGACGCGGCGGGCTGGGAGACAGTGGGAGCAGAGGTGGGAGTAGTGGTGGGCTGGGCACCTCCATTGCCGGCGCCAGCAGTGCTAGTGGGCTGGGAGCCACCGCTGCCACCAGTCGCGGCACCACCGCAAGTGGCAGTCTCGACTGAGGCAAAGCTGTCGACGTCCTTGCCAGGGTTGGGGAAGCCAACGTTGGTGCTCTCCTTAATCTTGCATTCGTTGATGTTTGCGACGTACATGTCAGGAAGGGCCTCGTAAGCGGACTGAGAACCAGCGGAACCGGTAATGGTAACGGGGCCACAGTTCATGTACATCTCGCGGTTGCCGATCTTGTTGAACCACGTCCAGGCGATGGTGCCATTACCAGCAGGCATGTCGGAGGGGATCTTGAAATCATAGGTATCCTGGTTGACCTGGTTGGCGTTGTCACCCAGGTTGCCATCGGCGTTCTTGGCAGGGCAACCTCCCTCAATGGACTTGATAACCTTCCAGACGGAGTTCTTGTCGGGCTTAGCGTCGTAGGTGATGGAGACCTGGCAAGAGCCACCGCCGTGGACGGCAGAGCCAATGAAGGCAAGGTTGCCACCTGCGCCTTGAGCGTAGACGTTAGAGGCACCCTCAGCATCGTAGACACCGGTGCGCTGCTTGCAGGGGAAGTCGGAACCGCTGGCATCGAGAGGGCTGTTGTTGAGGCTGGAGGCTCCGTAAGGCACGGGAGAGCTCATCTTCATGTGAGCGCTGGCAATGGTGGCCAGGCCGAAAGCGACGATAGCTTGAGCGTACATGGTGAGTGTTGTTGTTGAGTGATGAGAATCTAAACGTTCCAGACGGTAGGGTCTCAGTGTGGATTGTCGTTGTGACTGTAAGTTGTTTGGTGGTCGATCAAAGTCGTTGGTTCTCTTGACACTTTATAAGACAAGTTAGCTTCGACTCGAACTCGACTCATCGATCCAGCATGTTCTCGATGACAGCGCATTTGTTCCTCAGCAGGCCCGACTCGAAGTGACTGGTCACAGCCGTAACAAGCTCAGTGTGACGATGCTCCCGAACAATGACATTGTGAGTCGCACAGTGACGGGCCGCTTTGTCGAACAAAGGCAGAGAAGCAAGCCAAGTGGCCCAGGTCCCGTGCCGTCCCTTTGATGCTGTGATGCTGCAGAATTCCGTATACTTACAGTGTCTTCTCGCTTTGTCTGCTGGAAGCTTGGACGTTGCGGAGTGTTTGAAAAGTTTGGAGTGAAAGTTGAGAATCGGAAAGATCGATGGGTCTCGAAGTTTCGTATCGTTGTCTTTGGGTTCCGTGAAGGATGGTAATGCACCAGGCGAGTTGGGTTGGTTGATAGAAAGTTGAAAAGTAAGGACTAGCCTTGTTGAATGATAGAAGAGAGAAGGTAAGATGTCGAAACGACAAGCCTTTCCAAAGCCCACAGAAGGAATGCGAGAAGATGTGTTTGTCCAAGAGGATGGGGAACAAAAAAAAGGGTGTTTCGAGGTAGGACGAGGCCCGGGTCTTATAATACAAGAAGGTCGAGCTGAAAAGATACGATGGGGATGTAGAAAGTAGTGAGTGAGCAGGCCCACGGGCAGAGTATGCCGAGCTTAGAGAAGGACTAGAGATGAAAGTGGAAACGAGAGGCAAAAAGCAACTTAGCACGGCTGCAAAGAACGGCGGTTATCCCAGAACGATTGGAGAAGGATAGACTGAAGGTCGGACCGGAGGATGGAGAGCTGGACTAGATCGGTCCACTTGGGACGGGAGAGACATGGCGTTCTTTTAGACAGGCGTTGAGCAGGTCGACCAGTCAAGCCCAGTCGTGGAGCGCAGTCCAAGGGGATTCGGGGCATGGTGGATCGCCCGAGGGGGACGGGCCAGGCGTTGAAGAAGGAGAGGCATGGGCTTGAGGCTGTGATAGGCGGGAGAGGAGCCCCTCGGCCTGTTTCGACATGGCACGAAAGACCGGACTAAACATTCTTGTGAGCAGGCAGGGGTGGGTAAGGATGATCGGGGCATCTGGCAGTTGTGTGCGTGTGTGGTTGTGGGTGTTCGAGGATGAGGTACATACGGCAGGCAGTACTGCGTAGTAAGAACAGGCTCCACGGCACGTAAGGTACGGCTTAAGGTGTAAGGTACGCAGTAAAGGCTGCTAGGACCATGCCATGTTCCTGGATGGGACTTTGGAGGGACGGGGACCTTGCAGCAAGGCGCATCGTGCGTGTTTTTTTCGCGGTGGATGCCCCTGACTAGGCATGTTAGGCTCGTTTAAGGAGGAGCCAAGGACAGCCAAAGGCGGGGGAGAGGGAGGGAGCATCTGTGGACCGACGATGAAGTGGTTTTGATGGTATAGGGAGGGATTGGAGAGGAGTTTTTCGAGCTGTCGTTGACGGGGCGGATGAATGGCTGGGAGGATGTGGGAAGAGAGACAAGTGACACCGAGAAGAAGCACTAAGGACTAGTCGCTACCAGGGAGGAGACGAGGTCCGGGACAAGACGACAGGGGGGCAGGGAACCAGGGAGCAGGAAGCAGCCACCAAGGGTGCGGTGTGGGAGCCTGGGTGCGAGGAAAGGTACGTACTCCTACCACTCCCGCTCGAGGACTGGCTGCCATTCGCTGCTCGGGCCACGCTAACGGAGGCACCCAAAAAGCACGTTCCTTGCCCCGCTAACGCTACACAGTACGTACCTCGAAGCTGTATCCGTAGGGAACACTAGCCACGCACTTGCAGCCGGTACGTATCTCGTCGTGCAGCGTCAGATCAGGAAAGGGGCACGGGAAGATGGAGGATGTGTGCAACCATGTGTTTCCTTCCAGAGCACTGCTACACTCTGCCTTTGGCCCTGACTAGAGGGAATGGCGGCAGGAAGCGCGTGAGCTGCAGCTTTCAAGACAGGAGAAGCACCAGAATGGCGGAGGCTACTGCAAGGCACCATCTGCGAAGTGAGCACAGCATGCAGCAGTGAGTCGCAACACCTGAGATAGAAACAAACGGTCAGCCATTGCATCCATCCATCTACCATCCATCTACCATCCATCTACCATGCACCAGTTCATACGTCCAAATAGCCGCCAAGAGTGAGATCAGCAGCGACAGCGATGCCCCCCGAATCGTTCTGGTTGCCTGCTAAATCCAGACAAGGCTCAGTCATTTCATCCTTACTTTTACCTACCTACCACAAAGTGCTGCATAGAATTTCCCCATGTTGGTGTGCGCAATACGCATTCCACCCTATCTGACCGTCCGAGTATAGAATAGAAGAGGCGATATACAAGCGCATCGGCACCCACGGATATTACGCGAATTTGCCTCGCCTAGCTGAATGGAGACTTACTTTTTTTTTTCGGCAGACAGAAGACAGATGCGATGCTGACTGACAGATCAAGATCACCCGTACGTATGCACTGACTGGATCCAAAGTCAGAAGACGCCATGCGAGGTCAGTAGAGCGCGAAAGGCGAAAGCCTCATCGATATTTGCGGCCCAGCCCATTCCATACCAAGTCCTATTTTGGCACAGGCGGCCTCCAATCAGGGCAGATCGAACCTTGGATTTGGAGACTGGAGGTGGCCAGTTATTGCGGCCCTCGCCCAAGGCCGCGGTGGCGGCCACTCAGATCCCTCTCATACCCTCGCAAAAGATACGTCACGCTGCGGCGCAACATCGCCTCACCACATTGGCCCAAAAATGTCTTTTCGGACGACGCTCCTCGTGAGTCCTGCTGTCTCTGGCTCTCATCCTCCGCGAGACCCCCGGCCGACCGCTGAAGGCAGGGGCTAGTCGTAGTCATTCCTTACGTAGACTAACATGCAAAGGGGGCAAGGGGGCGGAATAAGACCGGGAACAACTGGGGCACTGGACTGTGATGGTGTCGCCGCCGCTGTCGCGCTGTGAGCCTCTCCCGTCCACCCAGCCCAATGACCATGGGGGGATGAGTTGAAGAGAGAAGAAAATGGTCAGGGATCGGACTGGTGGGTGGAAAGAGGGTCGATGATGTGCAGGGGTATTTTTTTCGACAGTCCCAAAGTCCCACGGCTTTCGGCAAGGCCAGCATCCTGAGAGCAGGGGTCGGAGAGAGCGTAAGAAAGGGGCAGTCAGTTCGCGATGCGTGGTTCGTCCATTTGATCGGGCTTCCAGGCTCCTTGGAATTCCTTTTCCCACAGGCCGGGCGGCACTTGCGACTACCAGGCGGTCCAAGACAATTTTTTTTCTGGGCCATCACATCAGTCCACCGTTTGATCCATTGTGATGTCTTGACTAAGAAGGGCGAACAAGAAACAAAAAATGGGCGGTGACGCAGACAATGCAGCCGAAAGCGAGACATGCAACGGGCATGTCGAGCCGGTGAGACTGTATCGGTAAACGCTGGCACGGGCAGCCACCTTGCCAACTCAGCTCACCGACGTACACCGAGCGAAGGACGGCATAAGGTACAAAAGACATCAGAGACATGCCAGAACAACAACAAGAACGCAGTGTATCACTAAGAACTAACCCCTCTTTCTCCATTGTGCGCATTGTCTGCTGTCACTTGACAAGGCCAAGCCAAGCCAAATCAAAAATGCAAAGACACGTTGATCGACAAGATTCCCCCGAGTCAGTGATGGGTGATCCCCGTTGAAAATAGAAGTAGAGAATTAAGTGGTATCCGTACGGGCACTCAATTTACAGGATCCTCAGTCAGTGCCCATCGGATGGCCAACTCTACTCGCCATCGACCTCGGTATACCCGCCCTGGTCCAGTATGCCATCAAGCTTGTGGGCTGTCGTTTGTATGTGCGGCATACAGAGTAGATGGAAAGTGGGAGGGAGCATCGCTGCGGCCAGCCAGCCCGCCGTTTATTGCGGCTGTTCTTGATGCTGCCCTTGCAGTGCCTCGTGGCTTCTGCCCAGGTACCGCCCAAAAAAAAAAAAAAAAAAAAAAAACCTTAACACGTCTTAAGTCACTTGCCGGGGGAACCGTGGTGGCAGTGTACTTGCCTATCCACTGACGGGCTGATAGTGGATCCGCTCAGTCGTGCATCCCGGAGTTCGGTCCAGCATCGGTACTTGTGCGGCACGGTGACCGGTGGACGGTTGATTTCAAACGATCAACGGTCCCTCCACCGACGACATGAAGAAAAGCAACGGCGTGCGGATTGCGACAGCCACTCGTTTGCAGGTGCGAAAGCAATGTTTGCCTATCACTCTTTGCTTCTCTCCCAGTGCCGAGACCCTCACATGCTGATGGACAGGCACCGGGGCCAGCGTCCCCTGACACTGCAACCTGACTCCCCCTGTCTGGGCCATCTGGTTCCCCGCTGAATCGAAGGGGCCACCCTTTAAGCGGGGAATTCGGTTGAGCAGACCAGATGTTCAGCTGCATGCGCAGGGGGTATTAACGACGGGGATTTTCTCTTCGCTTGCCAGGGCCTTGCCTGGCCCCCAGCGCACACTTTTGGAAACCCTCTCGCTGGCTGCCTGCCCTGATTCCATCCCCGGCTGCCCACAACGAGCGGATTTTGTGCTGTCGTCAATCGTCGTCGAAGCCCTACAATGACTGGTGCACATGCTACGTTGTAGCGCATCAAGGGTCTCGTCGAGGGGGAATATGGAACTGCTGGAGGAGCTGGAAGAGACCCCCCTGAATAGAAGCGAGGAATCTGAAACAGAGGCAGTTTCACGCCCCCCAAGTTCGCCTCTTCCCCTTTCGGACATTGAGCTCTCTGTCTGCTAACCACTGACAGCGAATCAACTCACTATTAGTCGTCAACTGTTAATGTGAGCATGACAGGATCATGTCGTTCCTGCT